CCGTGGCTGCCTATTGGCCATCGCTGCAGCGCGGGCGCGGCGACGAAGCCAATCGGCGTGGTCCGAAGCTTCGCGGTCCCGCCCACCCGTTGAGGTATATAAGCGCGCGATGACAGACCGTTAATCCAGTGCGTTTACACGGAGCAGCCGCGACGAGTACGGAGCACAGATAAAGAGAGAGAAAACCGAAAGCAACAGCAGAGAAAATCGCACCTTTTCCAAAGTCGTCGAGCGTCTCTCGCGCCTTCTCGTCAGCATGAAAGCAATAAGTCCGGTGAGGTCGCTGCGGAAAGGCGGCGCGGGCGCCCCGGAGCCCAGTCTCGGGATCTCGCGCAGCAAGACCCCCGCGGACGACCCGCTCAGCCTGCTGTACAACATGAACGACTGCTACTCGAAGCTGAAGGAGCTGGTGCCCAGCATCCCGCAGAACAAGAACGTGAGCAAGATGGAGATCCTGCAGCACGTCATCGACTACATCCTGGACCTGCAGATCGCGCTCGACTCGCACTCCGCCATGAGCAGCCTGCGGCCCGGACACGGCGCGGCCAGGAGCCCGCTGACCACCCTCAACACGGACATCAGCATCCTCTCCCTACAGGTAACCGAGCGGACAACTGTTGGACACGAAGCGGGCCGGCAGAGCGACACTGTAAAAGCGTTAGAGAGAGACAGAGAGGAATCATGGGTTTATCAGTGAATGTATGAAACGGCTGGTTAAATGCATGATTTAATAATGCTGTGCGCGTCAACATGAGAAAATAACCGTCGTCTTCTTTCCCTCCTGTAGACGCCGGAGTTTCAGTCAGATTTGATCACAGAGGACAGCAGGACGCTTTACCGCTAATCAGGTAAATATACTGTACTTATTGTTATAGTATATTGTTAATGCTGCATGCTGTTAACATCACACTGATATGGGAACTGTGGTGAATGTATACGTAAAGAATGAATAAAGAGAACATATATATATATATATATATATATATATATATTATATATATATATATATATATACCTACCTAAGTATCTGCACTGTCACTGTGAAATGTGGTGCCTTTGAGCTGAAACAGTGCTGTAAGTGAGCAGGGTGAGTAAGGTTTAATTAGGCAGTCGTAAGTGCAGGCAGAAGTTGTGCAGCTACATCTGGAGCGCAGGGTTTTGCTCACTATTGCAGTGTTTGGTTAAATGTCAGAACTGCGGCTTCCTCTGTGGCGCCAGGCTGTCCGGATCTCTGCCCTGTTTGCATTTTCTCAATGCGCCTCTCTCTTTCTCAATCTTTTGCAGGTGTTTGGTTAAGACGTGAACACACAGGACCTGGGAACTGACTTTTTCCCTCAATTTCTGTTCTCGGCCTGGAGTTTTTTTGCCCCCCCTTCCTTCTTCTCCTCCTCCTCCTCCTCCTTCTTCATCTTTCTCCCCCTTCTTCAACTGAATCAAGAGACATTGCTTCTAAAGGACAATCTATGTGATGTGTTATTATAAGTCCGGACGTTGATTTATTTATCTTAAAGACTCGTTCAGTCTTTTTCTTCAAGAGGAAGAAGCACTATATTCCCGTCAATGGGAGGGAAAAAAAAACCGAATGGAAGAAGAAGAAAATGGTCGCAAGAGACCCTGTTTTGTCTCTAAAGCGAGAAGTCTTCGCTTTTTTCGTGAAGATGCAGTGTGAATATAGGAGACGACGTGCTTAGTTGCTGTACAAAGTTTAGTCTGGTTTTTTTTTCTTTCTTGTTTTTTTTTGTCGAGCAGCGTCATTCTTTTTTGGCACATGAAGGAAGGACTGGACGTTGAGTGTGACATAAACGCGTGAAAACCTTGTGAACTCTTTCAGAGTCGTATCTTGTATAGTTGCAGAAATTGGACTACCAAGCTGCAAGGTGTTATGCTGTACTTAATTATGCTGAAACTTTTTATAAAAGTAATTGTAAATCGTACCTTTTTTATATAAAAAAAAAATAAATCAAATGCTTTATTTGAACAGATCTGTCTGCTGTAGTCTGTAGGGTGTAGGCCTCTCTTTGCTTTGCTTGCAGGTGATATAGCGGTTGGCTCTATCCTTAAAGAAGTAGCTGAAAAATGAAACTGACAGTTTTCCCGACCCCAAACACAGTCGATCAGCAAAGATGTTTGGTGTCTGAAGTGTGCCTCTTTAGTTGTGCGCTGGACCTGCAAGGCTAGCGTAGCTTAATGGAAGTCTATGTTACCTGAAATCTGTTGGCCTTGTAGCTCCAGTGCAAAACTAATGAAGCTGAAGACACCAAACCTTCTGATTGACTACTTTTGAGGTTCAGGACAAGTTGTGTGGATGTCATTTTTTGGTGACCCACTCTTTTAAGCCTCGCTAAACTTGTGCGTAGAGTGTCCAGATGCCTCCAAGGCCGCCACTGCACTAAGCAACTGCTCTGAAAGCTAATCTGAGAATAGGTAGCCTAGATAAGCCCCTGCCCACAGGCCACCTCAGCTTACTAAATGTACATGTACACCACTGTAACCTAGATTTGACTGTCAGAACTGCCGTTGACTCTTCACACACCTTTGGATCAGGCAGGGTACATGGTGTATAATGAGGCGTCTATCTATTCAGATGTTATCTGGTTTGGTCCTCATTTGAACACCTGATCTTGAGCTGATGTGTGTTGAGTGTTGAATGATGGCCTAGAAGCGCACTGCTCACTGGTTAGTGAACGAGGTCTAGTCTTTTCCCACAGCTTGTTTCAGCAGCTTCACTGAAAGGTTCTGCTGAAGTAGTTCAACAGTGCGCCTCCCAATCCTAAATCTTTTTTTAAAGGCCTTGTCTATCATTTTTTATCCTCTGTAATTTCTTGCTAGGCCTACATTAGGTTTGATAAATCAGATATAAGCCTAACAATGAAACAGCTACGCTGTAAGATATATTATTATAATACATGTAATAAGCTAACTGAAAGGATTTTTAAAAGACTACTCCATTGCATTCCTCATTCACGCTCCGCTTGTGGTCATCATGGAGCAGCGCTGGTGCAGCAGTTTCGAGGCTAGTATTTTTAAGGCAGCTTGGCCAGCAGTTGTTTCTCTCCGAACATGATTTCACAACTCCAGTGTGCAGTAGTGAGCGAGCCTGCACCTTTGATCTCCAGCCGACCACTGTATGAAGAGTGCGCCACCTGCTGGCACATCCACAGCATACAACCCGTAATAATAAAACCCATCAGTCTCTCTTCCCTATATGCATATCTGTGGCATATCACAAGCTTTAGCTTTTATTCTAAAGTGTGCCACTTTACAATAAGACTATTCTTGTAAAGCATTTATTATCAGTTTAAAATGAGTTATTAATGGTTATCAATTAGGTTATAAACGCCTTAAAATCATTAATAAAGAGTTATGAATAAAAAGGGCAACTGTGAGCTGTTATATCTGATGATTATGAATATCTGATGAAGCTGACAGGTTTAAAGCTGACTGATGGAGAAGACAAAGTAAGATAAGTAACCAGCAAGATCTGAGCTTTAATGGTATAGATGAAGGTGGGTGCACTATTTGGCAAACAATGGGTCACTGCCGCCCTTTTCATTTATGTGTTGCAATAGCTTATTAATGTTTTTTTTTTTTTTATGATCTAATCAGTAAACTAATGCTAAACAAACCATAAACCCTTTTTAAGTGGCCTTATTGTAAAGTGGTCCCTTTTTTGATATCAGAAACTTCAATCTGTAGTACTGAAAATGACATTAATACTAGTAAAAAAGAAAATGGGATGTAAAAAACCTAATTCTGACACATCAATTAATAAATTGAACTTTTAAGTAAGTCATATTCCAGCACGTATGATTTCAATTCTCACTACTAAGAGTTCATGGCTGTTCACGATTTATTTAAATCAAGTGGCAGCTTTACTACTTTAATGTGCTAATTTTATTTTCATGAGTAAAAATTCTACATGTTCAAATTCATTTCTTATGAGTGAAAACTGAGTTCTTACATGCAAAAATCAAATGTTTTAATTTTATGTGCAAGAACTAAAAGATGTCAGTGAGAGCTGAAATTGTGCATGTAAAAATATTCAGTAGGTCCCAAATATACAGCAGCATAATTACAAGTGATATTATCAGTTTAACAATTACAACGAAAAGTAGAATCTTTGAATGAGTGTTTTAAGAATTTCTTAGCATTTAAATGTCCCTCTTTTGCTTTAATGACAGGGTGCACTCAAGCTGGCACGAACTAAGTTTGTGCAAAAAGCTTCTGACAAGTAGAGCAAATCTAGAGTCATCTGAACAGGAGGACAAATATGACTAAAAAAATGGACCTTTATAGGCCCTTATACAACTTTAACCTGATCGGTATCACAAATTTGCTTGGACCCCACTGTAATTCCAACTAGTAAAAGAAAAAACCCATTTGAATTTGACATTAGATTTAGTTAGAATTTAATATTTTAACTAGTACTCATAGTATTTTTATTAATTCTAGTTGCATCTCTGATATCAAATTGTATATTAAAAGCCGAAATAGCATTCCATACATACCAAAATGAGGGCAGTAACAAACTACACTAACTGAATAGAAAGAAACATTACATGCCACGTTTCTTCAGCCAAAGCCGTATGGAGAGTCCACAGGAGTTCCGACAGTTGTCCTTCACTCTTACTGCAGCCTTGTGTCAGTGGCCTGGCCACACAGCTGATTTCTGGCTCATTTTAATGGACTAAATCTAGGATACAGTGATGTACATCTAGTAAGCACTCTTACATTGTAGATGCAGTAGACGCCTGTAGAGAGACAAAACATTAGGACAAAGGCTTATCTAGACTACCTGTTCTCAGATTAGCTTTGTAAACAGTCACTTAGCAGTACAGTGGCAGCTTTAGGGGCATCATGAAAAAGCAAGGCTGGAAGATAAATGACTTAACAACAATGCTGACACCCTGATGGTTCATTTTTATCACACATATCACACAGCAAAATATACAGGCACCTCAGCTGAACAGCACAAAAAAGAAAGGGATTAAAATTAAACACTGTTCGCAATGTAGAAATGTTTATTACTTCCTTAAACATGGCCATGCATTTTGAGGAAATAACTTATCACACTTACAGAGCATTCAGGGTTCTGACAGAAGCTTTTTTTATTCGCCGGATGTAACACTGATATGCACAAACGATTAATAAATAGTAAAGTGGAAAGCATTCGCCCTCCGTAGAGTGATCACAATTTCTAAGTCACCATACACATTACAGAAACAACATCACACATTTATTTCTTCACTGTGATATCAGTCCACTAATGATCCACCAATACATGTTACAGCACACTAACCTATTGTTAATTAAGAACTCCAACACACTTAACAGGCCACAATAAGAGTTTCACAGCACGGCCTCTAAAACAGTTACAGTCTCACTTCACTTCTGACCGCATTTTTCTAGCACCTAAAACTGCTACAAATGTATACGTTCTTTCTATTTCTGAAGACTCTAAAAGCCTCAGTTTAATGAGATGATTTTGTAAATGGTCACTTATTACTTTGAGGAAGTTTGACCCTTGTCCTTCGTCTGACAGTGAGCCATCTGATGCAGTTCTCACTTTATCCATGTTCTTGCCAACAGATTTCATATTCCATAATGACTGGTCTACAGTCAATATCAGGTATCACTACGTAACATCAAGATCAATAGCTGCACTGGCTTTTCTGTGTGGCAATCAGTAACAATAGTTTCAGCTTTGAATGAACGCTTTTACACTGCAGTGCGTGACCAAGTGGTCCCTGCCCTGCCCATTTTAGTGTTGTCCTAGTTTTGTAGGGCCAGATGTGATCTTGTAATAAGAACAATCATGAGAAGTTTTGGACTAAATGTGGGTGGGAATGTAGACTTAATGTAGGGTGGGAACAAACTGAGTGTGAAGGTGGAGCTCTAAGTAGGGGGTGATGGTGCACTCGTCAACACTGCCCAATGGACAAACCTGTTGTTAGCCCATGGATGTAATTTAAATTAGCATGACTGAAAAATCCCCCCAAAAATTTCAGTTAAGCGTGCAGATGTGTGTCTTGTGTGCTGAGAATATCTTACAAGTGGTAAAACTAAATGCATCACTTGCAAGGAAAGACAGTTCTGCTAGCTAGCTACAGTGTTTCACTTGCTAGCTTATTTTGCTTGTGATATCGACTGTAATGCGGACATTAAAAGTCTGAAAGACTAGAACAGTGGTGAACAATCCTGGTCCTGGAGATCTACCACCCTAAAGAGATTTGCTTCAGCCCCTGATCCACATAATAAAGCCCTTCTTCCTGTAGATATACCTTCCTGCAGAATTTAGTTCCAAACTACGTCTACCATGCTGCCTCCCTTCTCACCTAACGCTACTGCACCTAATGCAGACGATTGGGGTCTACTGAAGATGTTAACTGTCTATAGTAGGTGTGCCTTATTATGACTGGAACCTTCTTTAGGAAGGCAGATCTCTGGAACAAAGGCTGGTGACCGCTGCTGTAGACCATGGTGGCTCTTCACAGCACGCTCTCCCGTTCTTCACCCCCTTCTGCGTCCCGTCCAGAAGACGTTGTTCTACGCAGGCGGCCCCCGATTAAGTTCTGGTTGGGCACTGTGGCAGTGCCCGGCCCAATGATGAGTGGGGTGCTGTCATTTTGGCCCTCCTCATTGCCATTGTTGTTGTTCAGAGGCAAGTCGCTGGTAGGCCGGTTCAGGTTGGTGACGGCCGAGGCCGGCCAGTTCTCCTCAGGGCTGCTTGCCGGCGGGCTGCCCTCAGACGGAGCCTCTGAGCAGATGGACATGCGGGCTATGGTAGGGTCTTGAATACCACTCAGGCGCTTCCGCACTGGGCTCTCCAGCACCAGCTGGATCAGACGCTCCTCCTCCTGGCCCACAGCTCTCTCCTGCGAGTTTACCTCTTCCTCTTCTTCTTCGTCTTGTAAGGAGCGGTCCGAAGAGCTGCCACTGGACCTCATGCCTGAGTCCGAAGACTCTTTCTTGTCAAACGTGACTGCTGAGATGAAGCTCTTCACGGCCTTGGGCAGGAGCGGCTGCTCTCCAGCTGCCCGCTGCTCTTCCCAGAGCAGAGGGGTGGCGTCCGTCTCCTCGGTGCCGGACTCCTCGTCCTCCTCTTCTTCTTGGCTGGACACGTTGTGGTAATTGCCTCGGCTTACAGAGGCTTTGCGAGCAGCTCCGCGCTCTGGTTTTTCGTCTTCTTCAGTGATGGGATGGAGCAGGCTGGCATCCTGGGCATTGGCGTAGTCTGCCATGCTGTCTGCGGTTTTGGGGTTTCTTTTAAAGGGCTTGCGGCCTTCCTGCTCACCATCCTTGGCCTTGTCTTCAGAGCCCAGTATGGTTTGGCTTTCCAGCTGAGCCATGTGGGAAATGTAGTCCTGGTAGGCGCTGCGGTACTCGGCTTGCTGTCGGTCCGTCAGCTTGCTGATGTCGTTGGAGGACTCCTGAGAATTCAGGCTAGACATGCTAGAAGTCCTGTGACTCGCACCCTAAAGGGACAGATCACACACAGACACTCAAACAAAAATAGACATATTGCTGCCATTATAAGAAAACCTTGTATCTCTAAAATGGTGACTTTATAGGAGAAAGAAAAAACATTTATTACATCTATTATGACTTTAATAATTTAACTATGCAGCAATTTTTGCAAAATTGTAACATGAATACAAAGGCTCGCTTTTATTATTTTCTTTATAGAAATCTGGAATGCTTTCTTTTTAAAATTTCCTTTGATCCATTTCTCATGAAATGCTCACATCACAAGGTTTTCTTATTATAGCAGTGGTATATAAAGAGAACTGAGATCCAGAATCTGTACTGTTCAAAAAACAAAAACAATACACAAAAATACATCATAACGCCCATAACACTGATTATAATCTCAAACCGTTACTGACTCTCTACAGAGTTTGTATGCATTTGGTCAATGTGGAGTGACACCTTTCTAAGCGCGAGCAGAGCGAAGAGCAGAAATAGCCATCCCTATGTGACAGAAAGGGCCTCTCTCATGCTGCCCCACATTAAGTGCATGTGTGTGTGTGTGTGTGTGTGTGTGTGAGTCAGGTCAGCTCTTCACTTCCTCTGCTCATCCAGGTCAGAGAACTCTCCGTTTGTCACCCAGTAAACCACAGGCTATTTTCACCCTGCTGATGGACTACTGAAAAGCAGAAGCTAAGTTCTGCTTCTTTGTTAAACACGAAAGCTGGTGTGCAGAAAATACACAAGAGTGTACATCTGTATAAACGTTGCTATAATTGTAGGACAGCAAGTGTGGCAATGTAGGACATTTTTGTACAGCATATATGTGATTACTTTAGGTATTTAGGTTAGGTACAGTGGAAGTAAACCATGACAACAATTTACTTGAACCTTTCTAGGTAACATATGCTGTTTTTGTTCAGTAATATAACAGTGTAATGTTACCATTACCGGTAACTGTCATCATAGATGCCATAATGTTTGATCTCATGACAGCTTACATCACATAATGTTTGCTGTGTACTTTAATTAGCCACCCTAACATCAAACATTATGACGTGTTATGACAATTACCAGTAATGGTAAGATGACACTGTTATATTACTGAACAAAGTCTGTCATGTCAACTCATGACAGCCCATGATATTATAATGTTTGACATGTTTACGGTATGGTTATGTCAATGTCACGTAGCAGGGTTTAACCCCTTAAATGGGCAGGGCCTGCCGGCAGGCCCAATGTTTTAAAACACACTTCTACAACCTAAGAATAGCACAGCCAGTTTTCATTGAAGATGTAATAAGCCTGGGATTTTAAGGGGTTAAGTGTTACCTAAATGTTTGCACATTAAACAGTGAAATAAAACGTGTGGCTGGTGCATAATCATAACTATATGACAAAAAGTAAAAGGCCCCAAATTGAGTATCCCATGCTTTATGTTAGTGTGTTATCAGAACACCTTCAGAAGCATCACAGTGTTGTCTGTGTTTATTCATAGCAATATTAATTTTTTTCTTGTTGGGAAAATGATGTTCAAATACTGCTGTTTTAAAAATATGGACATTCAAATATGATGTGTGCTGTCTTGAGAGTGCCATTTACTCGCCTTGCTCTCTGTTCTTTCTCTCCTTGTGTGCTAATTCACAGCTCAGTCTCACTGCTGACCAACGATGCCGATTCAACATGCTCAACTCTGTCAACAAACTATGGGTAATGGTTGGCCAACGATGCTCACTGACGGCCTGACGGCCCACAGCAGTGGATAGCCGGCTTGGTGCTAACAGTGCTGACAGCACTGTACTCAGCTTAATGACTGTACTGAAGTCTTGTGTCAGCCTCTACTGGCCTCTTCCATGACTAGCCAGGGCAGGTGCTAAATGAATGTTTTTATTTTCAATTTACTTAAACCTGCAAATGCACTTATAAATGCACTTTATGCAAACACTCACTAATATAGCAAATGGGAGTGGGCACTTTAAGTACACCTCCCCTTGTATGAAAGACTGCTCAGTCAGACATCCCACAGACAATGCCTTCTAAGTGTTCAGGCTGTGCTTGAGGCTGGAAACATGTCCCATACAAGTATGCAAACTCAACTGCGTCAAATAATGCAAAATTGATTGCAAGGACTGCTGCATTTTTAAAATGTGTCATCTGAAAATTTCTAATGCAACAAAGTGAAAGTTTCATTCTGAGTGCTGAAGCAAGGTGCACTACAATGAGCATACATATATATATATATATATATATATATATATATATATATATATATATATATATATATATATATATATATACTTGACAAGAGAGACACAGGCCTAATCTTAGTCCTTTTCAGTGGTTGCACACTCTACCTTCTATTTTTTCTCCAGTGCAACGAGTAGCAAACACTCCTCAACTGTCAGTATGTTTAGCGCCGTTGTGGCTATCGGAATTGTCAGGGGCCGGATTCTCAAAGCTTCACAAAGGTTACTAATGTTATGGTCTTAACCTCTTAACCTAGATAGCTTCTTGGTGAGTTTTCTCAAAACAAGGATAAGACATCTTAAGGTAGTCATGGCATAACACTGGGATAAAACTTACAAGAAAGGTGGCATGTCAGCTTGCTCTCTATCAATGACAGACCAATATAATCCAGGATGGATACGGCCACTGGGAAAAGAGTGAGGAAGCCTATTTGCATGGTACGTCATTGCTCTCGGCTTAGTGTAAACAATGACGTTACATTAAAAACGTTAGTTTTTGATGTGTGCTAGTTTTGTAAACACTAATGTCTGGCTGATTATGTTACAGAGTATAAATACATAATCTAAATAAATAAATACATGACTAAAATAAAACAAAAAAAGCGGTCAGAAACTTCTGTGGGATACAGTTAAATCACAATATTTAGAAATGTGCAATTCTCAAGTTTTCTTTATTTTACATTACTGTTTAAGTTATGACAACTTGTTGTAATATGTTATTTTAATCATGATCTTCCGTGAAGGGCTTTGTTAGCTATGCTCTTTGAAAACTGATAAGTAATAACTTTCTTTTTCCTATTCTTTTTACTGGGTAAATTCAATGTTATTTTAGGTTAAATTTATGTGAGATTTGATGGCCTTTCATTGGATTTCTGTATGATTTAAAATGAGAGAGACAGTTCATGACAATCTGAGATTTTATAAACTTTTCATGGCTTTATCCTGCTAGCCCTGCTCTGAAGTAGTCCTAACTTTTATTACAATCAAGCCTAATGACTGATGATGTGACCATACAGAACCCAAAATGTTTTGAGAATCACTTAAGCAGCCAGTTATGACCAAGGCTTGGAATACACGATAGTTCTAGAACAGGGGTGTCCAATCTTATCCAGAAAGGGCCGGTGTGGCTGCAGGTTTTATCTCAAATAAACAAGAGCACCTGACTGAACTTGTTTAATCGGCTGGTCTGAAAAACTGATCATGTAAGCTTCTGCTTTTGAAATTGCATACCCCTGTTCTATAGGGTTATGCCTGTCGTAAGTGTTTTGAGAACCTGGCCCCAGTGTGATTTGTACTCTATCGCCCCCTTCAGGACTAAGGTCTATAATGTAAGCGAGCATGTTAACTATGCACCATGGGACCATGCACTTGTAACGTGTTGGCTAGGAGTCATCATTTTTTGTGTTTGCATACTTCCATGAGGTATGCTGGCCCAAGTGCTGACTGAGAGTGCAGTTCAAGTGGAGAGCACAGAATTATTTATTTGACAGGGACAGTGTTTTAACTTTGCACCCACCGTCCAGTGGTTGCTGGGTTGCCTGACAGGTTCCTCCAGACCAGCTGTGCTGAGCTCCTCAAAGCTGAGATTAAGGCTGTAGCGCAGGGTGCTGTCGTTGGGGGCTGCAGCAGGACGGGAGGGGGGATCAGGTTGGGCCAGAACACTGCTGCCCTGCTCACTGCCACCTCCACACTCCTCCTGCAGCAGCTGGCTCTCCACCTGCCTCTGCTCCAGCACCTGGAAAACAGCCCCACAGCACAGAAGTCTAATCAGTCAGTCAATAAATCCTCTCAAACTTGCCTCAAAGCACATTTAACTATTAATTAATCTCAAAAAGACTTGCTTATGTGGTTTCTGGCGCATTGTGACATCTTGTGACTTGTTCTGTAATACTGGACAAAAGTATGTACAAAATTTAGGCTACAACATAGCTGTTGGAATTGTTTAAGTTATGTGAGATACTTTCAAGGAAATATTCTGTGGTAAATTTAACTTTTTGCTAAAGAAAAATCGCTTTAAAAGAGTGGAGGTAGACAGAACTGGTACCCAGGAAACCTTGTGTTTAATGTTTACTGATAAGCAGTTCTTGGTTAAGCTGAATTAGGAGCATGGCTAGGAGCTTCTGATATTCACTGTGCATTAAGCTGGCCGTTATCGGGATGGTGTCAGCTCTATTCTAACCGACTATCCGCATCGGATTTAGAGAAGTGTATTTTTCACAGCATCACGTTTAAAAGTTAGTCTAGTTTTGAATTTAGTCACTAAAGATATCCTAGTGTGTTTTATCACACATATCACCTTGTTCCCTGCAGAGCTGTTTTTGTTGTATCCCCATTTTAAAACGGATCCCTGTGCATCACACAAATACAACAGTCTGTGATTGGTTACTTTGCATGTCATTAAAATGGCTCTTTACTATCCCAGTAGGCAGTTTCTGGCCATGTTAAGCAACAAACTGCACCAGGCTCTCAGACAATAGGCAGAAGTCTGGCTTGCAAGACTAGTGGGTAAGTAAACAGAATGGGACTCTCTGGAGCAGCCACACATAAGCCCAATGTCACCATCCTCAATGCCAAGAGTGGGCTAGATGAGTATAAAGCCCCCCAATATTGGGCTGTGAAGCAGGGGAACTGCTTTCTCTGGAGTGACGGAGCTCTACCTAATGCCTTTGGGATGAGTTGGAGTGGTGTTTGTGAACCTCAACTAATCATTCAACATCAGTACCTGACATCACTAATCATCTTGTGGCTGAATGCAATCAAGTCCTCATAACAAATGTTCCAATATCTAGTGGAAAGCCTTCCCAGAAGTTACTGGTTGTCACTGCAGCAAAGGGGGATGAACTCCTTATTAATACCCTTGATGTCAAAAGAAACACTGGATCAACAGGAGTCTACCATATTTTTGGACATATAGTGTTTCCTATAGGAAGAGGAAAACAGATGAATAGGTATATAAGACCCACAGGAGTTGCATTTTATTGTTGGTTTGATTAAACAAATCAACAAAAAGAGCTTTCCGATCTCAGTTGCTTTTGCTCAGTCGCTCTAAAAAAACTGTGGGGCATTCAACAATAAAGGATGCTTTGTGCTTCTTTCATATAGCAATAGAAAACATCACAGCACACAAAGCGTTCCAATTGCAAATACATTTTACTGTGTTCAACATAAACATGCATAACTTGTTTTAAACGCGGTTGTAGGGGACACTGCCAGAGCCTCTGAATATTTCACTGGCAAGATGTTTGGTTTGAAAGGGTTAATTAGTTCATTAGTTGCATCATGTATATTAGGAGCTGGGAAACTCCAGGACTAGGACTGAGAACCACTGCTCTAATATATAGAGTCACAAATGATGAAGGGAGGCTTCATCACGAGTTTCATTATTAGCCATGCAAGAAGTCATTGTGAGTATCAGTATAAAGTCCTTTTATCAGTGCTTAGTATCTTCCCAACAGCAAATGTATTTAATGTCATTAACTGAACAGTCAATATTGGAATTTAGAAAAAACAGTGCACTGCACCAAACAGTGCAAGAATCCCACAGTCCATGTCCTGTGCCCTTCCTATTTCTCATGTTTTCAGCATGAAGAATGCTACTTTCTCGTAAAAGTCAAGCAATTCAGATCTTTGAGTGGATACCGAGCTCCCACTGACAATAACCTTCCTTCATTCAGAAAGGCGCCATCTTGGACCAGATGGCTGCGTGCTTGCTGGCAACACAACATTCGTTTGTGGAAGCACAAATGGAAATCTGATCAACACAAGCTACATGTGTTCCTGATTTCAACTGCGCGTCAGCCTCCTTCTAGAAAGAGGGCTTGTGTAAAAAAGCCTCCCGTATCAGGCTGTAGTTGGGGGGGGGGTGGAAGTCAAGATGCATTAAAAGATGCCATAATGCATACAACATTACAAACTGATGAAAGATATACAAGGTGATATACTAAGATTAGGCTGGGGTAAAAGTATGATTCAAAGGAGTGAATAACAAATCTTACCATTGCCTTGAAGAGATGCCAGTCTCCAAAGTTCATGTTCATCTCCTTCCTCAGCTCATCCAGGTTACACTGGCACAGGACTCGCCCATTGATGTTTGCCTAGATGTGCAGACATTTACAAGCTGACCTTAGAGCGGCTGTGAGAGTCAAAAGCACTTGTGCCATTCACTAAAGCGCAGAAGCTCCTCTAAGCAGTTTTTATTTATTTGGGCCTGTGAGGTCTTTGGAAAAACAAGTGGCGTGCTTGTGCTTGGTGCGTGCTGGTGCAGTCTGGATGATAGAGTGCTCGCTCCTCAGCTACAATGGAGATCTTTGAGTATGAAGGCCACTGCTGCACAGCTGTTAGGTTGGAAGATGAACATCTGAAGGCATTAGTCATGTCATTGCCATCCTCAGATGGTGTTCAGTGGGAAAACAGGCCCTTAAGGTAAAACCTGTGTTCAGCACTTGGAGAAGATAAAGCTGGTCTTTACTAAACAAATTGATGATGTTATGGGGGTGGGTGAAAGCCATCCCCAGGAACAATGTTCTTTTGTAATAGTGATTTTCAGCCCTTGCCCAAGAGCTGAAATATCAATGTTCAATTCTCTCAGTAAACAATGCAGGGAATTTATGACCATTTGAATTTATGACCTTTTAGGGTTTGTGTCCACTGGCATGCATTTTCAATGAAGGCCATTTATTTCCAATGGAAGCGAGAAAAAGGGATGCAGCGTACATTCTGGGACAGCGGGTAATGGCCTACTTAAGTGGCTCCCAACCCTGCTCCCAGCACTAGACCCCTGCACTGCACATTTAAATGTCTTCCCTGTTCTAATACTGCATTTACATTATGATGGTATATGGTCAATGGCAAACTGTACATTTCTTTGTTTTCAACGGAGAAGCAAGAGAAAATTTTGCCTCAACCATGGCGGTGGATTAAACTGGATGTTGACTGTCTGAGTGCCACGGCTGCAGAACGTCTCATTACTGAATTTCAAGAGAACCCAGTATTTTACAACCGTAAATTAACACAGTATAGAGCATCATCCTGCCTTTTCCACCTTAAATAAGCAATCGACACTGCTATTCTCCTCTGATAACCATACACTTCCCCAGTGACGCTGGCACCATAAGACGTGCTTCCTGAATTGAAGTGGATGTGGTAGAGCAAGGAAAATGCTAGGGACCCAATCAGGAGTAATAATCTCCAGTAACTAATATAGGTGTGTAGTTTTGTTGTTAGTTAGTTCCATACCTGGTTCCTACATCATCCAATGTAACTGCTATAAACTTGCTCCAATTTATGACATTAATACATATACAGTACTGTTCAAAGTCAGAGTCCACCCTTCTCTTATTAATTTCCAGTCAAAATGACCATTAAGTGCAAGTTATTCAGGAAATTAAGCATCAGGAAAAAAGCAGAAAACAATTAAACAGAAAATTACACACCGTCTCAATAACTAAATATAGCATTTTTTTGTATTTAGTGTGTTTGTCTTTATGACAGCATCCATTCGTTTTGGGAGAGTTTTTAAAGAAATCTGCAGGGATATTCTGGCACACCTCCAATGTTTATGCACTTTTTCCTTCTCACAATCCAAGTAATTGCAAACACATTGAATGACGTTGAGGTCTGGACTGCGTGGACAGGCCATTATTCTGAGAACACCAGCAGCTTTTTCATTTGATTTGCAAATTTCCTTCTTTTCTCAATAACAGCTTCTTGAGAGCTACACATTCTTTCAGACTCAAAGTGTTGTGTTGCCTCACAGTAGATGGATGGAGAAAAACGTCTGTGGATTTTTTCAGATCTAAATGGACCGAATGGAGCTTCTCCTATCTCTCTAAAAGCTTTAAGTACTATTTATCTGATGGGTGCAGTTTTGGTGGTCTACTAGGTCTTGCGTGGTTGTTAGGTGTCGCATTTTCCCCCTATTTTTTAATATATATATTTTTTACTTTACTTTTTACATGTTTGGAAACTCCTGTTTTTTTTACTTCTTCCCTTTGACTTTCCCCTTTCCCCTTCATACAAGCAGATTATCTTTTATCTAATCTTTTTAGCAATAAAGGGTAGTCTTTGATGTTTGCACAGTACTGTAACTGGTATTTTCAAAAGATGTTACATAAGTCATTCCCATATATTTATTAAACTAAAAATCACTATTAACCCTTTTATTAAATTCATTACATTTCACAAGCATGAATTACAGTGCTTCCAGTGTTATGACATTTTGTACTCAAAAACTTTTTTAAGAGAAACACCCACTCCACCTGTTTAAGCAATCATGTCTCTGCCAGTGGACATGTACCTTTACTGATGCAAAAGGTCTTTTCAGAGAAAAGTGCACTCAAGTCAATGAAACAAGAAATGTCTGTTTTTGGAGTGTGTTAGGGCGTACCTTTTTGACAGTGCTGGTGTACTGCTCCATCATGCTGTCGTCCAGTCCCTCGATCTGCCTGAGTCTCTCGCACACTCCCTCAGTGCTGAGAGAACCGAGGAGCCCAGGAGGTACTGCAGGACCAGAGCCCTACATACATGCACATGGACAAAGTTATTCATTCATCCCTAAAATCAACATCCATCCATTACTATCTCTTAGAACGTGTGGCAGGCAATGCCATGTGGTGAAAAAGCAGTGTGTCACTGGTGAAGAATGCAGAGCAGCAGAGCCCAGTCCTACCTCAGCAGAGCTTCATCAGGCCAAGGCAGTGAACACAGCTAGTGAAATGTGAATTTAAAGTGACAGCCAGTGATGCAAAAGCTTGGCTATTTATGGCACTTATGCTAAACTGGCTCCATCAAGACACAGTGTCTACAGGTGTTTGTTCCAACTATGCACCACCTTAATTCACTAATTAAGTTCCTTTCTTTCAGTGGGGAATCCACAGGGCCTTTCTGGCAACAAAAAAATGAATGTAACTTTCATTTTTTTCCATTTAATAGAATCATCATGCATGTTGTATTTAAGCTCTGCAAATATTGTAGTAATACTCTTATTTCATTGTTAAGTTTTGGCAGCAAAAAACAAAAGGGTTAAAATCTTGACCTGCCAAATTGTCCCATCGAGATTTTTTTCCTGTGGTATTTAGGTAGATACAGCCAAGCTACTTCTTCCACTAGTTAGGCCTTCAGGACCCATTTTATACGAAAAATCGTCTCCGTAGGCCTTCGGGAAGATGGATACATCACAGACTGTGAATAAAACCAGTGATTTAAATAGGTTTTAACGGTGGCAACTCTATGCCAGGACTCTTTACTGGAGAGTTACTGTAAAACTGAAATATTCAAGGTAAAATATATGTTAATGTCTATTTCAAGATTCAAATAAAACAGATGAAATGTGTTTTACAAGCTACAAATGTCTGTGTTTAATCTAGAATCGCTTCATGTCCACTAACATTACCTTAGTCCAAAAAATATTAGAAATCCCATAGAGGCACTAGCAGAATATAGAAGTATTATAGAGCTGGATTTTTTCTTGTTTCTTGACCACGTTTTGACATTTACAGTCCAAACTGAAGGCCTAGATCTAATATCCATGCATCACCACTGCTTTCTTTATATGCTGATTAGTGGAATCAGGTGGTTTGCAGGGTTGGAATCAAAGCCAGCAGATGCTGTGGCCCCATGCTGGATAATAGGAATTTACGCCATGGATATACACTCACCATCCACTTCATTTATTAACTTCATTATTACTCCATTATTATTAATTATTTACCTCATGCTTCCACTCACTGATGATTCTGAGGTGTACATTGTAAGACAGCATTTTAGATTTACAATAGTAACTGGAGCCCATCTGTTATGATGTACAATTTTTCAGTCATCCCCTGCCCCATTCATTTTTAGTCTGCTGGTGGTGGATCACCACCACAGCAGACACGTTAGTGATAATAACATGGCAGTGGCATGATAGTTTATGTAGCGGTGGGTTTTTACATACGCCAGTGTCACTCCTGAGTTGAGAGTGTTCCACCACATGAAAATGTCTAACAAAAATTGTCCTATGCAACAGACAGCCTATAACTGTACACTAGCAAGGTAGAAATTTCTAATAAAGTGGACAGTGACTGTAAGTATCACATCACAAATCAGTTAGCAGCCCAGAGCTGAGTAAATATTAAATGAAAACTGACATGCTAACTTTAAAAGACATAACTTTATAAGCAACAAGAATCCAACCAAGACAGTCATCTCTTGAAACTTTTCCCTCTTTCAGTGGGTTTGCATGCACTTAATGGTCTGTTCATAATCACATTTCTATATTTATCTGATTACTTAAATAGTCATGGACGCAGCATAGTCCAATTTCTTAGTCTGGAGTAAGATCTAGAAATCCGATTAAGAATCCGATAAAGAGAGCTGGATTTTTCTAAGTAATCTGGCTTTTCAGCATGTGCATACTCTTACTCTGATTTCTTTCGGATTTCTCAGTCTGCACACGTGTGAAAAGAGAACGCAGTACCGGAAATAAGCAGCACACCCGAGATCGCAACAAAACACTTTTGGAGCGATGATGAAACTAAACACATGCTTGAAGAAATGAAGCATTTAAATATTCTTCATCTTCTAGATGATGTTTGTTTATATTTTTGGGTAAAGTAGCTTTTGTTTTAAATGCTTAAAAAAATGTTTTAAAAAAAAATCACAACATGAAGTTTGAGTTTTACGTTATGTTTACGTCACATCTTATTCTGTGAGTTTATTGGCCGGTTGCAAAGCAGAAATCTGATTACTGCCTCATGTAGACCCAGACTTTTCCATTATTTGATTATCATGTAAATGCACTGATCAGATTACCAAGTGCATGTACACACACTCATTGATGAATACAGTGATAGTTTGTTTTGTCAGAGGCTAAACCTCCTCATCACCTGGTACTAATCCACACTACTGCTACACTAGACCTTCTCTGTGAGGGACCTGTTGCCTGATCTGTCTTTGTCTCAGTGTCAAGGCTCTACAAAAAATCAAATGACCTTCATGCACAAGCTTGTGAAAGGGACAGCATCACTATGTTTTCAGTGGTGGTCAACTTGCATATAAAAGAGTATTCCTTTAGGGGAAAATGAACATGCAGCTCAAGAAAGACCATCAGAGGACCAGAGAGGAAATCAGACATCACATCATACTAGACCTAAAATGTTAAGGCCACTGCACACCTGATGTGCTAATCAGTATCTCTCTATTACTGCATTAATCTCAGAACTAAGCCACAAAAAACACAGATGACACGTGGCTTCAGATTTACACTGAGAAAGCAGTCAATCTAAAGTCTCTAAGAAAAGCAGACAAATTTGAATCGTCCCTTATCTATTAACATTTCAGCTTTAGGTTTTATTGCATTAAATCTGCAAAAACGAACTTGGGCTTGATGTTTATCTGCGCTTTGACTGCAACACACTCTACAGTGACCCCAAAAAGTTTTTGGACACTTTTTTTAACCATTTAACCTTTGGTAAAATGATGATCTTTAGGTTGCTTCACAAAGGGCCTGTTAAAAACATTTCCAGTGATGAATCACCATTGGCACTGTTACTTAGTTCAAGACAAGGCCTAAAATGTTCAACAAAACGTCCAATAAAATGTTTAGGTTCACTGATGAGATTATGAACTGAGAAGTTTGAACAAAGGAATTTGTGCAAAGAAATTACTCAAGCAATAAAGATCTGAATCTATCTGAGCCTTTTGAAAGAATAATTTTTCAAAAAGAAAATGACAGTTTTGCAATGTTCTGTTTAAAATAAATGCTACCTGGTTTGACACTTTGTTTTCCAACACAATGAACTTGCTTTTTTCTTTTTAACCACTTCCTTAGTCCTTAAGAACATGTTCTTCTTTACAATGGTGTCCTGAAAAGCAGCAGAAGCCACTTGAGAAAAAGAATTACAAAAGAGGGATAAAATAACAATGAAAAAGTGTGGTACAAATGTCCAAATACTATTTGGAGCCACTGTATATAGAATAGCTGTGTTTCGTACCATTATGCAATGCAGTGCAGCACATCTGGTGTGCAGTAGTCTTTAGGAGCCTATAGTTAGTGTTACCTAAAATCTGTTTGTTGTTTGACTACACTACAGTCCACTCTGAGACCTATAGAGTCCTATCCCAATCAAACACTCCCTACCCAGCTGTGCCTCTTTTACAAGTAAAACCTTCAGTGCCTATGAAGTCTCAAACTTAATCTTTCTTCTGAGGACTTAAAGAACATTTAAACTTTACTTCTAGCTCTAATGCTAAGGCTTAAACAAATTACAGCTACACTCAACGTTGAAAGAACTGCTCTTAGCATGATGCCAAATTTCACTTCTATTTCAGCAAAGCCTGCTAAGTATATATCCTTCATAAAGCCCTTTGTACAGTGGAGACCAGTGCCAGCATCCTCAACTGGATCAAACTGGCTGCATTTTCATACACACTTGCTGTCTTGGGTAGCCAAAGAGATGAGTGATGCCAAGAGTGTTTAATGGATCATTGCTAATAAAGCGAGACATTCCATGAGAGATGATTCACAAAACACCAGCATTTAACATCAGCTGTCTTCACCAGGAGCACTCAGGTTTTGTAAGTGTTACTCTTTTTTGGTCCACAGTAAGCATGTCCAGAAAAAGAAAAAAAACAAAAACACAACATCTGCTGGTAAACTGCTCTTAAAAATGTTTATAGTTATAGGACTAAAAACTCAGAATGCTGGCCTTCACTATAACAAATATATTATTTTATACACTGTATTAGTTATTATAGTGGGAAGGTGTCGTGATATCTGAATGGAGACAGCCAATCAAATTTATTCATCTTCTTGATGTCAGCTAAATTACACTGAGCCAGTCTGCTTACCTAAGGGGCCTACAATTTTAATCTCCCCTTTCACTCCTCAATAAAGATCATTGCAGCTGGGAAATCAGAGCCAAATTTAGGGCAGAAACAAGCGATCTAAAGCTCCTCATGCACATTGAAAATAACAGTGAAAATGTGTCAAAACAAGGCCACTAGCATTGTTCTGGGAACAGATAATGAAAGCATGTTGTCTGGGGAAATCCCTTCCAATAACTAGAACTCTTCCTGGCAAGGCTGAATGAGGAATAAGATATATGGTAAAGGTCAATGGTGTGAGAAGTGAAAGCTTTGCGTCCAGTAGCAACTACCATATGCAGCCTATTTCTAGGCAATACAATGTTCTACTGCAAAACTCACAAAAATGAAGTGTACTCAAAACATATGAATACAATAATTAAAACATTTTAAAAGGCCATTCTGATATCATGGACCTAATATGTCACGCTACGGTTTTGAAATGGTGCCCTATTCCACATTTTGTGTTTTCACAAATTGACCTGATCTTTATCCCAATTGTCAGGCTGGAAAATTGGAAATTGTGAATAATGTCCTCAAGAACTACAGCTGAGAACCATTGCTATGTAATAACAAAATATTTGATTCACAATCTCAGACATGGCCTTCTATGGTCTAAATGAGGTGTGCCTATATAAAAAGTAAGACATTCAAGGAAAAATGAGGAGAGGTCGAAGGATTAGGAGCATATACCTGCTTTACTCTGGGGGGCTGAGACTTTGTCTGTTTGGGAGTAATGAGAGGAGAGGAGAGGGGTTAGAGCAGGACAGGACAGATCATTAAGCAACCTGCTTCAATCATCATGAATCACAAGGACACAAGGGGACTCCAACCGCTTAGGACAAAAGATAAACACAGGGATGGAAATAAATTTGCTCATCCTGTAAGCAAATTTTCAAACTGAGAAACTCCTTTACCCTTTAATGTCAGCATTATAAATTGCAATACAAAACACTTCTAGGAAGTTCCTAATTCACGGAGGACTAAAGGATTCAGTTAGGAATTAAGGTAGTTAGAACTAGTTCAGACAGATCTTTAAGGAGGTTTAGGTTTCGAGGACCATTTCTGTAATCCTGGAGTCTGTAACACAGAAAACCCTATATAGCTTGAAACATGTATAGACTATGATAGAAATGCAGGTTCAAGTTTTTTTTTTAATTGTATGTTAATTCCAACAGAAGGGTCATCCCATGTCAGCTTACCGAAGGCCTGGTAGGTCACAATATGATTTTCTAAGAAAAACTCAAGCAGAAATTTCAAAACTTTGCCCCTAATAGTTTTTCAGTTCTGAAATTTACAGCTTTCTCCAGAAAGTTGTAAATTGAATCCGTGATGTGACCTGCCAGGCTCTAGGTGAGTTGGCTTGGAATGACCTAACAGGCCTTCAAAGCCGACCTTTCGCTGGGCTCAGAGAAATTTCAGGATTGTTACACTGCTGGCTGATATCTAACAATCTGAAGTTCCATCCCTGAGTGCATTCACAGAAACACAGCTCTTTCAAAGCATCCCACCTGCAATGCTGTACCTTCATTACAGTGATTCGGTCAACAAAATTGTTCTTGACTGTTTTATATGAACAGGCAAAGCCAAAATCAAAACGAAAATGGAGAAAGCACATAACATATAAAACACAGAGAAAGAAAGAGAGACACAACATGCATGTTTCTACTCTTTCCTTGCAGTGTGAAGCAGAAGATGCACTTTAGAAGCACCCCAGCCAGGGTGTGAAGACAAGGGAAGAGCGGGGGGTTAAGGGTGTAACTGCAGTCGGTGGTGGGGAGGAAGAAGCAGAGGTCTGAGCAGGGTAAACTGTTTCGCTTTGGAGACTAAAAGCGCTACATTTGTGCACTCAAACCTAAAAGACATGGACTTAAATCCCAGTGATTGAGCCACCCAGCCATCTGTAGTAGCAGCTTTTTAAATGGATAGTTCTGCCAAAAATCTAATAAACATAATTTTCAACTTACCCCAAGGTTGATCATCAACGATGAGTGTTGTCAAGTTTTTTCAGTAACACATTAATGAAAGGACAGCATATACATGACACCTGAATAAGTCTTTATGACAACTGACAACAAACCTACACTAACATTTTTACGGCTTATTCTAATACACATTAAATGTCATTAAGGCTGCTTTAGTCAATTTTGATGTCATTTCAGCGCAGATAGTGTTATGACAACTGACGCTTTTTGAAATAGGTCTTTCTAGATGTTCATATAGATTTATACCAGCTGTCATGAAAGGATTATGAAGGTGTCATGTAGCTTTATGAAAACTGCCCTACAGTAAAGCATTATTTTCTTTAGTTTTGCACTGAACCTACAAGACTAATCTAACCAGCAAATAATGGCCGTGGTATAGACAAAACTCAAAATTCAAGATGCCTCCTAGCTCCTAGAAGTAACCTCCGGACACCAAACATATCTTTGTTAATAAATACCTTGGGTAAGGATAAAATTGTACAATTGAAAATTTTACCCAACTACCACTGTAACAACGAACCACCATCAGAACCAGAAAGACACTAAAAACAAAGCAGGCATGACAGAATGCAAACTCTTTTAAAATCACTAAAGAAGCTCATCTAGGAGCTACGATTGATCAGCAGGGCTGGGCTACTAAAGGGTGACATGAGCTACTTGCACAAATGGGTTTTTCCATCTGATCCATTCCCTTTTCTATGTAATGCTGATCATGTGACTTTGTATACTTCTCACTCAGTTGTGCAGAAAGTCAAAATGCAACACAGCAACAATGCTACAGTCAAGCAGTGGAAAGTTAGTACACTTTCAGATAGAAAACGAAGCTCATCGACCTACAGGCTGACTGAACACAGCACTCAAGCTGAACAATACAGAAGAGACTGAGCAACATGGACTGGGGTGTAACAGCCATTTCGATGGCCTCTCATAAAAGACTCAATTGGCATGCTAGTAGCGCTATCATTGTATCAGAAACTGTGTGTGAGCAGCAGTTGTGGTGCATGAGCACATGGATGCTCAGATATCTTAGAGCGTATCGTCATTTTGTAGTTTGCCCTCAGGATCTAGATGAGTCTAAGCTGTTTTTTTCTAGGAAAAAATGAATGTCATTTTTGAAAACCATCTCTACTGTTCTCTGTGGTTAAATAACGAGATCCAAGGACAATATTTCCCCCCCCAAATATTTTGTCGCTGTCCAAAGAAAAACATGCATCTCCAGTTTTGTCAATCTTTTTCTACACCATTTCAACACAGCAGCTGAACCAATAGAAATTCCCAAAAATGACTTGGAATAAAACATCTATTTATAGACTTACAAAAGGTTTTTTCTCCTGTAAAGTAACTATTTTGAAGATACATGTTTTTTTTTTAGACAGCGACAATGTATTATGTTATTAAGTTGTTGAAACAGGAATGATTCTACAAACATAATACATGCAAGCTAACATTCCAGCGCACTGAATTGACTTCAGAAATATGTATTTCCGAGGACCCAGAGATATTTGGGGGGAAAATGTACGTAGAAAAAACATATTAATTTTGGAACATTTTTGTTTACCACAGAGTGTGATGGGGTATCTTCAAAAATGCCATTAATTTTTTCCCCATAAACAAAACCAGCCTCCATCCAAAGTTGCTTATTTGGTTACACTGCTGACTGCAAAATGACGCACAACCTAAGAGATCTATTCTCTCTCACATAAAGAGAGTGACACACAGAGACTCAAGAGAGTCACACTCATAGGATACCACAGAGGGGGAGGGGAATCTCTCAAAGGCATCTTCTCTGATAATGCCCTGATGAGGAAACAGGGCAAAATATGGGTGAAGGAGAACCATAGGATGAAAAGAGGAGAGAAAGCCTAGAAGAACACAGTTAGCATACAGGCACAGGGATATTTAGAAGTGTGCACATAATGTAAGGGCAGAGAACACTTGATGCATAATGTGGGTGTAGATGGGCTCGAAACGCACTAGCATCTCTGCTAAATGCCACCTCGCTACCTCCATAAAATCTGTCACAGAATAAGTTGTTAAGCAGAAAGTTTATGTCACAACAGTGTAGAGAGAAAGTAAAACAAGGCCTCACTCTTCAGTATCTTCAATCAACTAGCTTATGTTACACTTTACATGTGATTTATATCCTTTGACTTACATAGCATTATTTTTGTAATATAGTAATCTGCTATATTAATGCTAAATCCCTTCCTCTTGGAGGCATTCGCACCTTTTCAGTAAAGCAAAAGTAGCTAGATGTTAGCCAACCAGCTAGCAAGCTTCTGTTTAAGTGTACAGCCGCTGGCGCTCCATCATGTTTATTCCCCAAAAAATGAAAACATAAAGGAAAAGTGGCTTCAAGTGACTTTTAGCTAACCAACTATCCAGAAAAGCAAGCCAACCCATCAGAAACACATCAAAACTTCAATCAAAACAAGGTGTTGTATGAACATGTTCAATGTGATTTAGGCTACAGCGCATATCACTTGCATGTGTGTTTTTATGAAACTGCATGAGCAAAACTAAGAGATACAATATAAGTGATTGAATAATGGCAAAGTGTGACAGTGTGACATCACAATCACGCGGTTTGTAATGAGATAAAGCTATAACCGATCCAGCAAAGGCAGAATTTTTTAATCTCATTTTTAAAAATAGAGTATTTAACCAGTGTTTGAGTGTATTGACTTGATTTTATTTGATTTGTTGCCGTGGCGATAACAAATGAAAGCTAAAATCTAAATGGCTGAAATTTCCTGCTGCGTTATTATTTTCATGTCCCAAACTGCATACTAGCACACTAAACAGTATGTTAAAAACAGCGCATATACCATCAGAAGGGCACTCATTAGTGTAATAGGTGAAGTACAGAAGTATGTGGTTTGGAATTTATTAAACATCTCCAAGTGAAAGTTGGAGGTATTTGTTGATTTAGGGTGCATTTTTGAAGTAAATTAGTGTATATATTGAGTTAAGCTGATTTTGGCTTCGTATTTGCCAACTTTTAAAATTTGTTCTATGTTTAAGGTGCCTCAGTTTAACTACAGCACCATTTAAGGTGGAACATGAAATTCAAATAAGAAGCTGACGAGCTTAATATATGTGTATGAGTTTATTATTTAAGAGCTTTGGCAGTTTTGGTAGCCACTTTTATTAGTTTTTATAAAATATCACGCACTGAAATGTTCTGAACTCTATAGAGAAATGCAGGTTATATGGATCCAGTCCACCAATCTAGCTAAACTTATCCTCATAGCATTTTCTGGAGACTGTATCTAAAGCGTCTACATATCTTTACCTCTTTTACTTTTTTGATCATTCTGGTCCATTTTGCTTGGTCTTTATCCACCTGCAGGGTTGTAACTGCAGTAACAGAGATGAGCTCATCAGAGCACAGTCAGAGTTACAGCTTGCCTACCAACATGGCGACGTAGTCTTCTTAATGACATAATCGAATACTATGAATAGTCACCTACATATAGTTGCTGTCCAAAAAACCCAAGCATCTCCAAAATGGTAATTTTATAGGACAAGGTCAATTTTTTTATTGTTAATGTGAAGATATTTTTTTGTTCCTAGTAATGGTGGACTATTTCTATATTCCATCCATCTTGAAAGTTCCTCATAATGTAAAGGACAACTGCTGTGTTGAAAAATAAAAAGCGAAAAAGTGGAGAGATGTTTTTTTTTGACAGAAACAATAATCCAGTGTAGTGGCACTCTGGCCAAATCCCCTACCCTACTCTGGCCAAATCCCCTACACCTGACTGACTTCAACAAGATCTTGAAAGTTACCTGATGTGTTTAGTCAGATTTGGTGCAAATGGATAAAAAGTGTGCATGATGTGAATGATGTCCGCAGGAACCACTGATCTACACTAAAGAACTTGGCACGTAGTCTGAAGTGCTTTGTTGTTGTATGTACTAATATAGCGCTAGGGTTATCTGTGTACTTACTAGTCCAGAGCTGAGGTCCTTATGGAAGGCCAGTTTGGAGGGTGGGCGGGAGGGGGCATGGAGGGGGTTGCCGGGATAATGTCGGGGCAGGTGATAAACATGTTGAGGGAAATATGGCTATGGAGGTGGAGGAAAGAGAGGGAGAATGTTCATGCCATGAATGAATGAGGACTGGATGAGGATGGGCTACAAATAAGATACTCAATATGGCAGCTACAAACCCAAAATGTGACAGTCTCTGAAAACTTAACCTCACAACAGAACGGAAATAAAAATAAACTGTAAAGGAGTCAAAGCTGACAGTTTTCAGCTTCCAGAAGCAAACGTCTATCATCACTGTCATAAGAAAACCTGCCATGAAAAAAGTAGCATCTCAGAAAGGGTACGTTTACAGGAAAAGAAAAAGATGTTCTTAACGTCTGTTATCTTAAAAACACTTGATCTTCATTTTGTTCTCATTCACATGGTGTAAAGTTTTCTTATGACAGTGATGCTAGGATCTTTTTCTGGCTCGATCCCGTAGGTCACTGAATGAGCAAATATGACTCAGTGAATCCATCTTGTCTCACCCGGTTGTAGAAAGGGTGCTGTGGGCCGGTGAGGCCGCTGAAGTAGCTGCTGTGGGGTTGTGCGGGGAAGGAGGTGGTGGGAGAGCATGCTGTAGGGGCCTGACCAAACACTGAGTGTGTCCGCACCGGAGCCTCCTGCAAGGGGAGCGTGGGATAGCTCACTCCTCCGATGTGCATCTGCTCACGGGCATCACGCACGTCTGAGAGAGAGAGAGAGGAGGGCGAGTAAGAGAGGGAGAAAGAGCAAAAGAGTAAGCGAGAGAGAGGAATGTCATTTCTGATATAAGATTATAATCTCGGCCTGCACTTAAAGCGCATTCACATCCTCCCACTCACAGTTGACTTTAGCCAAACGACGCACAGCATTTTTAGTAAGTCCTATGTGAGAACGAAGAGAAAAAAAATCTCTGTGGGTTGGTTCTCAAAACAACAAACAGTGATGACCAAACAGACTTCTCCCAAAAGATTCAGCAGATTACCAGTACTACATGCCAAAAAGTCCGACAACACTTATTTTCTGCGCGCAGTAATCATACGTTTCTGCCCATGGAAAGAAATAGCCAGAGTGACTCAGAAATAAGGAGGCAATTTTGAATGATGTTTCACATCCTGAGGTGAGTATAATAGAGCCCTTGTTTCTCAGTCAGGGCTGAATGTAGGAATCGTTTACAGTGCTAGCCTGAGCTCTTAATACAACTCATGGACACAACATGGAGGATCATTAAAGATTAGGTTAACATAGTAATATAGTGTAAGTTCTGTGTAGGATGACTTAGGCAAGGAATATGCTGATTGGTGGAGTTTTTACAGATTTAACATCATTTTAGCATTATATTTGAAAGACTTAGAGGACATGAGTAGCTTCTCTGGTTGTTTGGGTAACAAACAAAATGGCTATCTTTGCTTTCTGGCCTATTTTCACTTGAAATTCGAGTGGATCATTCTTCTCAAAACACTCTGCTCGACTGTTTACTTCTCAACGAGTGTATTATGCTGAAACTTTGAATAAAATTGGTAGATCCTTTTAATGTTTCTACTTTACACTGTTACAGCCACCAGTGGATGTGTTCCCTCAGCAGACACGCTGATCTTTTCCTCTGCTGACCTCAACACAGCTGCAGCTCAACACAACACTGATGACCGTGGAGCTCAGTGAACTGCCAAGCTACAAGCGTGCACTCTGGCCAATCCTGGTCAATCCTCAATTTATTTGACTAGTCCTCTAAATATGCTTGAACTGTAAACACTCCATCTGATGCAAATTAGCTGATTATCTGCAATGTTGGTGTTAGGTTTAGGTTTTTGACTTGAGTTTAAGGTTAAGAGTCACAGGTTTCAGGGTAAGACAAATGTTAAGGTGATGTATGTAAGTATTTTGTTGAATGAAATCCAGTGACAAATTAATCTACAGTGGACCATCCAAATACAATGTTACGTGGCTTTTTACCGAGCTGTATCTTTTTGTGTGTGTATGTGTACCTGCAATGATCTCACGAAGTTTGGGGTCCAAGTTGACAGTGCAGGGCAGGAACATCTCTACATCATGAGCTGTGAGCACAGGAGTTCGAGAGGACAGGAACACCTCAAAACTGCGGATGTCTCCGTCAATCTCCAGCAGTGGCTCCACATCTTTGGTGGTGGGAATGTTTTTGGAAATCCTACAAGATGGCCAAGGTGTTAGTTAAATAAGAATATAGTACACTTTTAAGGACAGTATAATTTTTGGCAGTTTGGCAATAATTGCTTAGAACATTATCAGCATTGGACAGATGTTCAGATTTGACAGATATTTCAAATATCGGTCGATATTTCAAACCTATATTTGTACTCCAGAAATTCAGAACACTTAGGTGATGCTGGACTACTATGCTAAAGTGTTTTTTATTTATTTTTTTTACTGTGCATTTTAGTCATTTTACTGCTTTAAAATGTATGCTTTTGGTCAAACCACGAGGACTAGCTCAGAGCACAAGACTCAAGATAGACACATGAGGGAAACAGTTTATTTTCCTACACATGGGATATATCAGATACATCTCAAGATTTATTTCTGCTGAATACAGGCGTTTGATGCACACCATATTTCTTCTGCTATCTCACGATCTCTGTACTGGGAGTGCTAGTTGTGACGGTATTTCCCATCTTCTTATCAGCAAGTCGGAAGACACAGGCTGTCCTTCTTTCCGCTAACGAGGCCGGACTGTACCATGTAGAGCATGAGTTCACCGCTTGGCATGATTTCACGATGCTGGTTCAAGTAATCCAATTTGAAGGGGTGAAATTGGCTCCGTTTAGGGAGGGGGAAATGTGACACAATGAAGCTCAGTGGCTGCGCGCAGCTGAAGTGGAGAACTGGAGTAAACAAAGAGAGGACATCACAAGGCCTGAAGGTGCTTTATGAGCACCTGTGGAGAATTGCAGCAGTAAACAAGTCTTTCACCTGCTATGAAAGTTATAACTATAAAATTCATAGAGAAATGTCACAATATACAAAACTTCACTTTTAAGTGGCTGCTGCTGCTGATATTTGAGATCGCTTAACAGCTCAGGGCTGTTTGAGGTGATTCTGTGATGCATGATGATAACTTGTGGGGTTTAAGCTTCTATTAACTGTTAGCAACATTAGTCATGTAGCTTTAGTGCAATACTAAAAAAGCATACTTCAGACATCAAAAATTTGTTGGCTGATTGAAAACATTTGAGAAAATATAAAGAAATATATAAGTTGGCCGAACATTTTCTCAAAAGACTGATTATTTCCCAAGAATTGAATTATACTAAAATTTTGAAGAATTGGAGGATCCCTTTAATGCTTCTACTCCTTAAAAATTCTGCATAATTCAATCATTGATAGGCAAATAAGATAATTCAGAATGGTTTGATATGAAATGATTCACTGTAGATAAACTTACAACTCTTTGCAATAGTGGTAACAGAAACCAGGGGTCACAGAAATAAAGCCATTTCATCTGCTCACCAAAACCACCAGTGAACCTACATGTGTCTTCTGAGTATTGTATGTAACGCTGATAATGTTAAAATAGAGGTAAATCTGGTACTATTTTGCCTCACGCTGCCTTATAAAAATACATTTTACATTTAAAATCTGAAAACAGCCATAATGTCTCAGGGATCAAGAAATGAATTAATAACCATTTAATGGAATAATTTTGTCAGGTAACATTTAGAGGCAGTAATCGCTTCAGACGTCTGGTTCCTATCATTGCCACTGTGCAGAATTCTAATTCTGCAAGTTTGTCTGGAATGAATGAATAGTTTCACATCAAACCACTGTCAATGACTTTCTTATCCATAATGATTTAATTATGAAGAAACTTCGAAAAAATTATCAATTCAAAACTGCAGTTTTAGCCACTGTCCACCTAGCTGACAGTGAACTTGTCCCCTCAGCAGACGCTCTAATCTTTTCCTCTGCTGACCTCTGCAGCTCACATCTACACTGATGGCAGTGGAGCACAGTGAACTGCCAGGCTGTGCGCGTGCGTGCGGGTTGAATATGTGGTGCCGGGTGTGAGAACAGATGTTGCACACACTGGACAAAGGCCCGCACTGTGCTAGAGCAGGCCTCAGAGTCAGCGGGTCAGCAGTGGATGCTGCGTGAGCAGTCAGCTGACCTTCCACATGATGGACATTAGGCTGAGGTGGGCTCTACCCCAGAGGAGGGGGCTGAAGGACGGAACACAAATTATGATGGCGTGCATCACAGACGCATATTTCAATTTTTTATTTACAAACAAATTTCCACATGGACAGTACAGAGGGCAGCGCTTAAGGTGAAGGAACGTGGAGTGAATAAGGGAACGCAACTTGGTTGATTTCCCACACACTGGATTAGGCAGCACGGGGCAGCTTGTGCTTCTTCCGAAGTCCAGCTGGGCTTGTTTATTTGTGTGCATGCATGTGTGTGTGTGTGTGACTAAGTTTGTGTGTACATGTTCACTCATGGACAAACAGGAGCCAGTGACAAGAGCCTCTCAAGAGACTTCCTCTGTCACAAGACTGCTCCACTCACACACACACACACACACACACACACACACACACACACACACACACACACACACACGCACACACTCCTGCACTCACTAGTTTGCCACCACAGTGACCATTCTGTTTTTAAGGAAGTGAATTTCAAGACTCGTGGTTAAATATAAGCCAGATCTTCCAACATGAACCTGCAAGTCCATATGTTCTACATTTGGACAATGAATCATATCTTATTCACACTCTGTTAAGTGGGAGAGGATCTCCAAGCTTGACTTTGCTTGCAAAGAAGATATTGAGGGATCTACACTCAAACTCATCTGTTTCATTCCAGAACAGTAGTTTAAAGAGGGTTTAAAGACCAGTGCACTCAAAATTGTTTTTAAAATGGTTAACTACTTTTGGATGGCTGACTATGATTATATAGATTGGTATTTGTGTCGAGCACAGAGTTCACAACTTCACATTGAAAGTGTCCCTTTGGCTTTCACATTACTTTAACAATAAAAGCAATTTGTGGGGCACTACGTAGCAGCTTATTTTGTACGTAAAGAAAAAGTTTAAATCCATCCCCGTCCAATAGGGCTGCTCAATTCCACAAATTCTGAAGTCAACTCCAGTTCTGATTCCATGTTATAGTAATCAATGGATTAAAGTCCAAGAGCCGATTCAACACATTAATCAAACAAATGAACTACACACTTAAAAAAAGATGCTTCTTCAAGCGTTCTTTAGTAAAGAAAAAGAACTCTGCATGATTAAAGGGTTTTTTTGCATCGTGAAAGGGCTCTTCAGATTGAAGGAGAATGTGCTGTAGATGGTTCTATATTGAACCATTTGAAAGGGGTTCTATATAGAACCATCTACAGCACATCATTCATAATAATCAGCTTTAATCATACAAAGGGTTCTTTGAGTAATCATGGCTCTATATAGAAGCATTGTCTTTACTAAAAAACCCTTGTAGAACCATATTTTTTTTAAAACACAGCTCTGATTGGTCAGTCTGCTTATTAATGCATCTGCACATATCTTACTGCCTTTGTTTAAAATTTTATGCAGCATCATCTATCAGCTTCGGACCTGACATAAAAGACAGTATTAAAATGTACATAAAACTTGTCAAAAAAATTATCTGTTTTTTAACTGAATTTTTAAAGATCTGGATTCTAAAAAGGAATTAAACTCACCACACATTACACACACATTCCCCGTTATGTAGCAACCCAGCACAAACATATCTGCTACCAAATTTGGTGCACGACTCAGTTTAAAAAATGCTGGTCTAGACAGTGACAGTAGAATTTCTCACACTCTGTGCACACAGGTGCAGGCTCACTTGAATGTCTGTTTGGAATCGAGTCTAAAGCTTTGAAGTCAAATCTCGATTCCTGAATGCCTGGAATCAAGGAATCAACTCTTTTTGGGATCAACTCCCAGCCCTTCCATCCAAAACAGTTAATGTTTGAAATGTTTGGATTATGCAGTTAGCAGTCAGAAAAATAGATACATAATAGCGGTATCTAAAATTCCCAGGGTATCATATTTATGTTCCATATCTTTCTAAAAAACAGTAAAATATGAGTAGTGCTGTCCTAGTAGCAGGTACACCACAGAACAGGTTTGATTCCAGCTCACTGAAGCTCCAATAATGCAAGTTTAGAGGATAAGGACTCAAATCTGAGGGAGTAAACCTTTGTTAGAGTCATTAGCTAAGTCATGCTTGCTGCACTACAGTGTCAAATACCATAACATGGCTTCAATTCCAACTCATTAATGTATCATTTACACAAGCTTAGAGGGTGAAAACTGCAAGGGTAAAAACTGTTGAGTGAAGTTGAGTGACCGGTATTGGATTAACAAGAAAACAGGATCTAATCTGTTCTCCAAGGTGTTAAGTTAATAGCCTGGCATAATCAGCACCTTTTGTTCAAGTGAGTGATGTTCAATTTATGGTTTAACATTTATTGGGGGGAGGGACAGACTTTGGAAACCAGGGAGCAAGAGGGCATTTACAAATTGCCTAATCGTGATATTTGGAAATCTTGGCATTCTTATTCATTGTTAAGGTTTAGGGACGCTCATATGCCATTCTTAGCAATAGTTTCCTGAGCATAACAATGATAACCAAAATATTTATCAATTTTGTAATTAACACAGATTACTTTTTATGATTTAAATCATGAATTTAGGAGTACTTTAAAAATCTATGTGAAAAATGTACCTATGCGCTGCAGTATAATGAGTACATTTTGCCATGGACGGTTCCTTAACAACAGCTTTTTTATTCAAAACACTGCTTAAACATGGATCACCAGTATGTTACTTTGGGGCACTGAGTAACTGCAACTTTATGGCTGTTTTCTTTGGGTCTACTGCCTACGCTAATGATGACAGGTTTGAGCTATTTGACCATTTTCGTTTACTGCAGCTACAGAGCTTTAGCTAGTATGATGGTTTTGTTATGAATGCACTCTAAATGGCGACAAGTGTCAACAGTTTGTTTATGGAGTACAAATACATAAACATACAAGAGACACACACACTACACAGACTGCTGAATAGCGCTGGGCTCCGAGAAGGCCCCTCTATTTAATCTGGCGTGGAGCGAAGAGCAAGCAAAACACCCCGACACAGGCCGTGTCCAAGCACA